TGACTATACCACGAAACTATGGCTCAAATACACCCTATTATTGAAACCCTTTCCAGAGCTCAACTCTTTAGTAATAAATGCTTACCTTCTCAAACATGGGTTTGCTGTAATTTTCGCTGAGATCTTCCCAAGTGCCCAGCGTATGTGTACTGGGGCCTTGGCATTCACATAGGATGATGTCATTTGGTCTTGCCTTACTTGTCCTGACCCTTCTGACAATTCCTAACAAAGTGTGTGCTCATTATGTTACCCGTGCATTATGTCCTTTCATATCATTAGTGACATTATATTGGGTTGGCAGCTTCATTTGGAGAGACACTTGCGCCCTGAGCCAAGCAACACAGATAGCCAAGAATTAGATCATTCTATCCCCAAAGTGCCACAGACCTTCTCAGATACAGCTGAGCAATGTAATTTGATCAAGGTTAAGTACAACCCACCCTTCATCTTTTAACCCAAGTCAAAATTCTTTTAGCTTTCTGTTCAAATCCCAGAGTAATGCTTCCTGCTCATTGTTACAAGCTGCCCTCCAGTCAACTCGCATTTATCGGCCTGTGGCTTATCCAAAGCACCAGGCTTTCTCCTCCTCCTGCCTCCAGCACCAGGTTCCAGGCCGGCTCCTTTAACTCTGTGCCAAATGAATACAAACTAAATCTAATATTAGCCTAATGAGAAAAGGCCATCTGCTGCCAAAGATTTGCATGATGCATCCCAAAGCCAAACACGGGCCATTATTCACTGTTTCAGATGCTGGCATGGCTTCTCCATTATATAATACAGCAATCACGATTTTCCGTGTTTCTCTTCGAGTTAGAAAGGCGACACGCAGCGTTCTAACCTGTTCTTTGCCTAGTAGGCCAGATTCTCAGGAGAACAGCTTACATTTTCTTTTCAAATAAATAAATCATTTGTACATTTAATGTTAAGGGAACGAGAAATGCCTGGATTTGGAGTCATGAGACTTAGATTCTGATCTGAAATTCATCTTCCTCTAGTTGTTAATGAGAAACTAAGCAAGGCATCTAAATTCCTTATTTTCTCAGCAATAAAACTGGGATACAAATTTTATAAACAAAAAGTATGGGGCAGTCTCACATATACAAGGGACATTCAAAAGCCACCCTCAAAAAGCCAGGGAGACTCTTGACTGTCATTCTGACTCACCACTTTACAGGCTCTGGCAAATTGCTCGCAAGGGGAAAAAAAAGGTGTAACCTTATGAAACTTGTATTTTACAGATAAAAACATAGAAAGGGTAAGTTTCCTTGTGAGAACAAAGAAAATCAAATCTAGAAGTCTAGATTTTCTAACTTCCCAAGACTGTCTTTAGGCCATGTATAAGGACAGATCCCAGCATTCCAAGCTGAGGAACCACCAGGGTACTTCCTGATGATAGTCACCTTCCAAATTGCTGTGGAAACTCCAATTCCAGCCTTTAGAGCATTTAGAAATATCACTTTCAAAGCAGACTCTTACTTTGGCATTTTTCTTATGCCTGAGGCACATGTCCTCCAAGGACCAAGGACAAGGGTCAGGGAGAATGTTAACACCACACCATTTTCCTTTTTTCATCTTGCTCCCATACCAGAGACCATCAATGGCTTCCCACAGGTCAGAACAGCGCTGTCCAGAACTTTCTGTGATGTTCCCTGTCTATGCTATCCAAAACAGTAGCCCCGAGACACATGTGGCAACTGACCACTTGAAATTTGGCTAGGATGACCAAGGAAATTCACTTTTTCATTTTATTCTATTTTAATACAATTAACTAGCCACACGTGGCTAGTGGCTTCCATATTGGACAGTGCCCTGTTTTGGTAGAAAATAAATCCATGTTCCTCATTCTAGCATTCACATCCCATACAACTTGGCTCCAACATACTGTTCCATCCTGTTTCTACAACAGGAACCTTGACTGCTGAGCACAACTGAGGATGTCTGCTGCCACACCCCAGCTCAAGGTATTTAGGCTTCATTGCTAAGCGCACCTTCCATTCCTGTTGCTGTGTATTTGAACTGTATCCATATTTCACAACACAGATCAAGTTCTACCTTTACTGCAAGCCCCATCCCTACTTCCTCTGTGAGGAAAGGGCTCATTAACCTCAGGCCTGGCCAATCCAAGAAGGACCTCAGTCTATCACAGGGCTAGTTCTTTGGAACTACATCTGGTCTTTTGGGAGCTGTGAGTTGCCTTCAGGCCTCCATGACTGGAAAGATAAATAGAGATTGATGGAAAACAGAGGCTGTGCCTTCTCTGTGTCAAGGAGACTCATTCCTACTTTGGCTCTCATCTGGGGTAGTTGTACATGCCCCTGGGTGGGAAGCTGTACCTTCATAACTTCTGTGCCTCCCAATTAGATGAACCTGCTTTACCTCCTCTCTCTCTTGCCTTGTACCCACCTGAAAGCTAAGTTAACACAGTTTTGCATCTAGAACTTGTGGAATGGCGCACACGCTCTCTGGATTCCCAAGTGCTCATAGGCATTTAGGACTTATATTGGCAAATAACCTTTGCATATCAGCATTTCAATTGGATCCATTTCTTCCCCCAACTAGATTGAAAGGCTTAAAAGTGAGCTTGGTTCTCCATTGCTTTGCCTTTGGTCTATGAGAGCTGGAGGCAGCTTGTGGTACAGACAACCTCCTTCCAGAATTAGGATTCTAGCCTTTTGAGGAACTGAAGCCAAAGCCACATTCTAAGAGAGAGACAAAAAGGGTGATTCTTCCCAAAATGGATATACAAGGTGGGGCAAAAGAAGGTTTACAGTTGTGAGTACACAAAACACAGAATTTATTCTTGTATTATTACTTATTAATTATTATATTATTTTCCATATGAAAAACTGTTAACCTATTTTTGTTTCACCCTGTAGATATAGAGGGATACATTTTTAAGTGTTGAAAGTAATACAAGTTTCAAGATCAAGATGCTAGATTAAGCTCAAGCTACAAACCCTCCCTGAGGCTCTCAAAACTTAAAAGATACTTACAAAATATTTTTAATGTATGTAATACCATGCTTAAAATCAAGGAAGAGAAATCTCTAGACACCAGGAAAGCACAGCAGTGAGAAGGCACAAAGCTCACTGTGCCGGTTGGAACAGTTGACATGCTAAGGATTGATTGGTTTCAAAGCCCAACATGGCTAGACTCAATGTCAGAGCCTACAGGCATGGTAGGGAGTGGGGACCAAGTTCCCAGTGTGAAGCCTGCAAATGGGAAAGTGCAAAGGAAGGAACCTGATTTGCATAGTCAGTCAGTAGCCAAGAGACAGAATGTCAAATTGAAACATAATGTAACACCTGGTCAAAGATGTTCCATCCCAAAAGATTCAGGAAGAGACAGGCATAAAACGCCTCATCAGTGCTCGCTTCAGCAGCACAAATACCAAAAGACACCTAATCAAATGGCTTTCACCCACCATTCAGAGTCCCCAAGATAACTTTCTCCCTTGGCCAATAACGTACCAGCAAGAATATGAAGCCATGGGAGGAAATACAGCACCGTAAAAGGCAGAATATGACCCACCAAACAGGAAAAGCCATAGTTGAGCTACTAAGTTAATAGGGCAATCTGTAAATAAATACCATTAAATAAATACCATTCTTAAAAGAATGCATTTTTTTAAAAATATATTTTATTGATTTTTTTACAGAGAGGAAGGGAGAGTGATAGAGAGTTAGAAACATCCATGAGAGAGAAACACCGATCAGCTGCCTCCTGCACACCTCCCACTGGGGATGTGCCCGCAACCAAGGCACATGCCCTTGACCGGAATCGAACCTGGGACCCTTCAGTCCTCAGGCAGGCACTCTATCCACTGAGCCAAACCGGTTAGGGCTAAAAGAATGAATTTTTTAAGGGGGGAAAAAAAACTCAAAACGTTTTCTCCATAATCTCAATTCCAGATATAAACTGCTGCTCAAATTGTGGAGTAAACTCTTCCAGACTCAGTGATGCCCTTATGCAGTGAAAGGCATTTTTACATCAACAGGAACATGCTATACGTGCTGTGCAGTAACCTGCCCTTCTCGTCCCTTCCCCACTTTAAATATTACCACACTCATGTTCCCACATAAAGACTGCTAGAGAATGAATGTCTGCATTCCCCTAAAATCCATGTCAAACCTACCTGCCAATGTGATGGTATTAGGAGGTGGGGCCTTTGGTAAGTGCTTAGATAACAAGGGTGGGGCCCCCCATGAATGGGTTTGTGCCTTTACAAAAGAGACCCCAGGCAGCTCCATGTCCCTTTCCACCATGTGAGGACACAATAAGATGACAGCTATCTATTAACCAGGAAGTGGGCCCTCACCAGACACTGAAACAGGTGGCACCTTGATCTTAAACTTTCCAGTCTCCAAAACTGTGAGAAATAAATTTTAATTGTTTATAAGCCATCCAGTCAAAGTGTTTTGTTACAGAAGTACAAGTGGACTAAGCTAAATCCGCATAAGTCTCCCTCACCCCATCAAGTAAAAATTATTTTCCAATGTCAGTTATTAACAGTGCTTGTCAGCAAAAATCCCTCAATATTCATGCAGCCAACTGGGCCTTTTTCAAAATACTTTCAGACACACTGTATTATTTCATCTGCTCAACCTGATGAGGGAGGCAGCTTTTATGATACACTCTTTATAGATAAAGACTCTGAGGCTTGGAAAGTCACAGGACTTGCCCAACATCATAAAATGATAAATCTGAGCCTGGCAAACGAATCTTTCAGCTTTAAGTTCAAGGCGGTCTTCACTATAGCCCATTCTCTACCATACTCAGAATCTCATGCTATGAGACTGACCACAACTCTGTTTTGATTTCACCCCAATGGGGAAGCAGTCAATATTTTCATTTATGATTATTATAATCCAGAAGCAGTGTTCGTTAAACTGAAGGGACAATTGTGATTAGTGAGAGCACCATCAGTTCTTTGTGGCTTGACCACAGAGCAGCAACGCTGCAGTTTCAGAGTCTCCTTAATGTATCGGGTTATTGCTTACCTTAGCCGTCTCAGCTTCTGCCTGCAGTCGCTTAGGGGTTCCTTTTTGGTCAAGCACCTTCTGGAAATGTTTGTTTTTAATGGGTTGAGACTCAACACCTTCACCTTCAATTTGCAGTTTAATGCCTTCAGTATGAGCAGGATGATCAATACCCCGTGGATTCAAACCGCAGTGGAGAGCTAGGCAAGAGGGAAAAATTATAATTCAGAAAACAAATCATGTGAAGGTGGTGTCTGGGGCAGACAATATTTCAGCTGGCCTAAGTGGGAAGAGACAAGGCTGCAGCGAGTTGAGCGGTGGTCTGGTAACTATGGGAAGAAATTTGGGGAGGAAGGAGTGTTGTTGGGTGGGAAACCCTGAAGTCAGAAAGACAAAAGTGCAAATCCAGAAACCATCAGTTCCAAGTTGTTGGACCTTCAGCAAGTTACTGATCATCACACTGCACACCAGAATACCAAATCAGGCACCTTCGTTAATTATTTCAACCCTTGCAGGTTAGCTGATAGCTCTTCCTTTATCTGAAAAAGTGCTCATTCTGCCCCCTTCTGAGTCTTCTCTGTTTCAAGTGTCCATTCAAACCCACCACCCTCATGCATTCACTCAACAAATATTTATTAAGTAGTTACTACATGTCAGCCCATGATTCTGGAAACATGGATACAGGATATATGACGGTTGTTACATCAGATAACTCACAATCTAAGTGAAAAAGCAGGTGAAAGACAGTGACCTAGTGATTTTAAAACCTGACACACTAATTTGAAAAGATGATATCCACCCCTATGTTTATTGCAGCCTTATTTGTAATAGCCAAGATTTGGAAGCAGCCCAAGTGTCCATCTGTAGATGAGTAGATAAAAAAAGCTGTGGTTCATTAACACAATAGAATACTAGTCAGCTGTAAGAAAGAAGGAAATCTTACCTTTCTCGACATCATGCATAGACCTGGAGAGTATTACGCTAAGTGAAATAGACCAGTCAGAGAAAGACAAGTATCACATGATCTCACTCATATGTGGAATCTGATGAACAAAATGACCTAACGAAGTGAAGACAGGCTCATGGATACAGAGAACAGACTGACAGCTGTCAGAGGGGAGGGGTTTAGAGGCTGGGTGAGAAGGGTGAAGGGATAAATCAAAGGAAAAAAAGCAAAACTCACAGATATAGACAACAGTATGGTGATTGCCAAAGGGAAAGAGGGTAGCAGAGGGTAAAGAGGGGATAAATGGTGATGGAAGGAGATTTGACATGGGGTGATAAACACACAAATACAATATACAGATGATGTATTATGGAATTGTAACCTGAAACCTATATAATTTTATTAACCAATGTCATCTCAATAAGTTCAATAACAATCAATCAATCAATCAATCAATCAATCAATAAAACAGAGTGATAACTACTACATGGACAAGAAAAGCAGAGTGGAAGGTACAAGGGAGTCAAGTCTAATGGCTTCTAATTTTATGGATCTTTCCATGTTCTCTGACATCAATATTCCCATAAATCAAATGTATAGCCCATTTCCTGGGCATACTTAGTCAATAAATTCTTACTGAGCACCTCCTATGTACACACAATTACCAAAGAAATAGCAGGGAATGTTATGGGAGCCATACATTCTACCTAAATGACCCCCATGCATGACCAGGGATGTGGGGTGTGTGGGTGTGTATATGCACACACATGGCTTACGTGTATTTTGAGGTTTCTAGTAGGAAGTTATCTCACCTTCCTGCATCCCCAACCTTCAAAATTAGTTAAATTCCCATCTTTAAGTCCTTCCCTGGGTGTCAAGAGGATTTAAAGCCATGACCTTAAATCACCCCCGCCCCCACCCCCGCCGGCCACCACCACCACACAAACACACTCCATCCCCTTCAGGGTTCTACTTCACTGATAAATTCATTTTAGCCAATTATCTTCAGTTTTGCCCTTTCTCATCATTATCCCCCTTCAACCAACTTCTGTGATTCTTAAAATTCTTCCTTTACTCAGCTCCCCATCCAGGTCAGGGCTTCCTTTTCTCTTTACCAGGCTTCTAAATATTTTTCACCTGAGAGGTGAGAGAAGGCTTCCCAGACAAAGTGAGCTAAGGTGTCCTCCTCCCACCTTCCATTCCCTCCTTAACTCATTCCCTTCACTTTTGATAAAATCAACATACCAGTGACTTCAACATTCAACTCCATCCTAGAACGTCTTCTTGTGATGTTCAGACACAAGTAACACTGTCACTCAACTTCCCAATTTCAAAGTATCACAGGTATCATAAAATTAACATGTTCAGAACTGAACCTTGGTTTTCCTATGAAAACAATGCATGTTTTCCAGTCATCTCCAGTTACTCACACAGAAACTCAAGAGTCATTCTTGACCTCACTCTCCCCATGATTCACATCCCTTCCATCTATCAGCAGATTCCGTAAGCACTAACCCAAATGCTGCTCAAACCCATCAACTTCTCTAGCCCAACTGCTCTTGCCTACTCAAACCCTGACATCTCATTGAAAAAGCGCAGAGGCCAGATCATGAGACTCTCCTGCTTCAATCTTTCTAATGGCTTTCTTTTGTACCTAGAACATTAGAAACCTTTAACATGGCCAACAAGGCCCTGCATTACCTCTCCTCTTTTTCCCTTTCCACCTTCATCTCCCACCATGTTATTCCTTGTTCACTCCACTCTGACCACACATTCCTTAAACACACCAAGTTCTTTCACACCTCCTGGACTTTGTCCAAGTTTCTTTGCCTGAAATGATCTTCCCCATTCTTCACCTGACTCCCACTCATCCTTCAGGTTTTGGTTTAAATACCACTTCTTCGGATATGCCTTCCCATAATCCCCTTTCTCAGCCCACCCCTGCCTCCACCCCATGTTAGATCATGTGCCTGGAATAAGTAGTATTCAACAAATGTTGGATGATCTGAAACCGATTGTACAGTGGTCCATATGCATGTCACTTTATACCACTTTATATGAAATTATCCATATATTTCTCTTCTAGTCCCTAAAGTTCCTAAAACTAAGGACCAGACTATTATGTGGTATGTAGTAGGCACTCAACATATATTAGTCCATGGCTCCGCCCTTAGGCTTTGTGCTGGATCTCAAATAACCTTCATGAAACACTGAGACATAATTACATTCATTTCACAGATAAAAATGAGGCTCAAAGACTTTCACAAAAAGTCATACAGGTGTCTGCTAAAGATTACAATGATCAAGTATCATGTAGGATGCAGATAATTTCAAGTTTCAGATGAACAAACCCAAAGTGAATTAAATAATAAGACAATTTATTAGCTTTTGGGACAGGAAGTTCAGTAATGACAAAAGCTCAGAGTTAGCTATTTCACAGTTCAACAGGGTCATTGAGGACTCTGATGTACATGTTTAAATCTCTCCATTCTGCTATCCATAATGTGACCTTTACCCACAGCCTAGGTCCCCTCAGGGCACATCGAGCTACAAGCTTCTGGTTCTCATCTAGCAAAAGAAACCGCTTGGTTGGTCATTCTTTCCTCCAAACTTCCTTCTGTTCTCGTGAATCACACGCCCATTAGTGAACTGAAACTTTTCAGTAGAGATGGGATCACCCTTAAACCAGCCAACCTTCAGCTAAAGGCAATCCCCAAAACTTCACTGCTGCTACTCAACAAGGCAGGAACAAAATGGGTGCTGGAGACACAACCACAATGCCTAATTCAGGCCGTGGTAGAAAGAGGACAAAGCCCATGAGAGCACGAGCTTCCCCAACTCCAAAGAACAGCCTACTTACACTGAACACTCCATCACCTATAAAACTAAAATTGTAATTACTAAAAAATGGTGTGCTCATGGGGGGAGATGGGGGATTAATGTGGGATGGATTTAAGCATTAATGAGGAAAAGAAAAATAAATCTTTCTCTCTGGCCTGATCCCTGACTTCTTCCTGTCTTGCGATTCATGGCTTAGCAATACCACTGAGTTGCTGGCAGCTTCTAGGACAGGGCTGGGCAAACTTTTTGACTCGAGGGCCACAATGGGTTCTTAAACTGGACCGGAGGGCCGGAACAAAAGCATGGATGGAGTGTTTGTGTGAACTAATATAAATTCAAAGTAAACATCATTACATAAAAGGGTACGGTCTTTTTTTTTTTTTTTTTTAGTTTTATTCATTTCAAACGGGCAGGATCCGTAGTTTGCCCACGGCTGTTCTAGGACCTCCTGTCCTCCCTCCCCATCACCTCCCCACCAAATCAGACTCTAATACATCCTTCACTTTTGATCAAGCTGGTCCTTCCTCCTAGAAAGAGTTCTACTCCCTCTGAATCCCACTTCCTTCTTTGGGAGGCTAGCTCCTCCTCAGCCCATGTGTCAGGTCAGACGGCTTCTTCTAGGGGTCACTGGCTCCCAGAGGGAGAAGCCCCAGGCCTCTATGCACACAGTATCCTGGACCTTGACCTCCTGGCTGTAATGAGGATGTCTACCTAGTTGATCTGTCTGCCCCACCTGCCACAACTGCAAGTTCCTCCACATAGGCTCCACGTCTCATTCATCTCCGTGACCGCCACCCCTCAGTCCAGAACCTGGCACACAGTACACATCTAAGAAACATTTGTTCAGCTGCTGAATGAACCAGCCATCTCCTCTTTTTTTCCTCACAACCATGCCTTTAAGTCTGAGGGAAATTATTCCCTGCTAGTAAATACCTAGCATTCAAAATGTAAGGGATCTTATAAACATGAGGCAGAATGCGGTATTTTGATTTTCTACACACGTAGCCGCCTTCCTCACACAAATATTTTAATCCTCCATAGGAGCTGTTCCTGCCTCACCTGCAAACCCGGGAGTTGATTTAGGTTTCTGTGCTTGCGTTTGTATATTTAAAACCATTTCTGACAGCCTTTGCTTTGTTTTCCCTGAAATTTCATGTCCCTAACATTTATATATCAAACAACTTTCAAATGCCCTCTTGCAAGCTGCGATTGCCATTTCTTTGCACATCATGTAAAAGGTGCCCCAGTTGGTTTTCTCTTTTCCATCTTCATCAATGCCCCTCTTGATGAAGTAAATAAAGTTATTTACTCCATTGTAGGGGCCCTGCAGCTCACAAGTCGGCTTAGAGACCCTCTTCATGTTCCCCTGATCTTCACGACCAGTCTCATGTCTTTATCTTGATTGAACAGACA